AATCTCCGCATTATTCTCCGGATTTCAAGCTACTTCTGACATGAACTTCGAATCACTTTTTTCGCGGGCCGCGGGGAGGACGTAACTCCCAATGATCGTTTCCATCAACACGGGGGACCCCGGTATAGATGCCAGAATCCCACAATCGTTCTTTAGGCACCTCCAAAACAGGGAACCCTATTCTTTTACAGCTCCCCAACCTTGCGTGGCAAAGCGATGTGTCCAATCGTCCAGCTCTGAGTATGGTTTCGGGTTAAAGGTCAGGAGCGGTTCAAACAGAACCCTAAACCCTGAACCGGAGTCGGCCTCATTTGCTTCAAGACAAGCAGAAAGCCCTGCAATCGGACAGCCTCATGAACAGCCCAATTTGTAGGCAGATTCCCAGGGTTTGAGCTAGATTTCCCTTGCGCCATGTACTCGTCCTAACTATGCTAAACCTACATATGAGCTATAGTCTAAACTCCTAGTATTCCCCGTGATAACCCCTATAATATTCCCCTATATAATCCCCTACATAAGCCCCTTTAAGGAGTTTAAACTATAGCTCATATGCCCAACATGTGGTGGCAAGACTGAGAAGTGCAAGCAGAGGAAGTGCGGCCACGGTGCAGGAGTAGGAGGCGGCGTGGGGCTGTTCTTCAACATGTCACGAATTGCGTGGCTAACGTTTTGCAAAGCCTCTGATCCTGTCAACCGCTTGGTTTCAAAGGAAAAGCTCAGCATAGTACATTGAACATATGGCAACGCATTGCGATCATAGCTTAAGCTAGCGATTCTGCGGTCACAGCAGTTCAAACCAAGTGAGGGTTTCTCTAAAGCCCTTGCAAGTCAAACCACTGGAAAACGGCCCGGAAGTGTGATGACCCCATCTATCATTCCTTGCTTTCTACAAGTGGGGATATGTTACACAACCTCCGTAGGAACCATTCACAACGCTTCTTATCAACATGTGAACTACAGTCGATATCGCCCATCTAATTTACAGACATGGGTTCCTTATTAAGGACTAAATGCAGGACTATACCAACTACCTCAAGGGCCCCTGTGTCCACCCTTAATTAATGGTCCCTTGGTAAGCCTCATAATGACAGAAGCTAAAATACACCCTATAAACCACCATAACCTCAGTATTTTTCAATCTACTTCGCATTTGATTCTCCACTATTGGGGAATATGGCTGTGGATAAGAAACCCGTTTTGTCGCGGGTCCCCCCCCCACCCCTTGTTACATACCCCTTTGCCACGACCCATCGTTACATACCCTAGTCGCACATACACGGTAGGGGGATGCCCCACAAAAAATATTGTCGCAAAGTTGCTTGTCTTAAGCCAAGAAATTCTGTTACAAGGCTATGTCGCGGAATGGCGGCCCAAGTCTGCTACGAACCCAGTGTTGTGGATTCACGGCCTAAACCCCTAAACCCCAATATCCCTCTAGCTCATGTCTGTCATTGTCCTTTCCCATTGATGGCGGTATCCAGCTGTGTGCAGATCAGGGCCTGGTTTGCGGTTTAGGGTTTTAGGGCTTGGGGTTTAGGGGTTATGCTTTAGGGCTTAGGGTTTAAGGCATGAGGGGGTCCCTTAAAAGGGGATATGGGGGCTAGATAGAGATGTATGGGATTTCGGGTTTAAGGCATGGGGGGGGTCCCTTAAACGGGGAGATAAGGGCTGAATAGGGATGCATGGGATTCAGGGTGGATAGGGTTTACTTTGTGGGTCCCTAAGGTTACCAATGGGTTAGGTAACCCACTTATACAGGCATCATGACAAAGATATACGTAATGGGTTTATCAAGGGGATTCAGCCTATTACCTATCCCCAAAGTCCCTCAAGGTAGAGATTGGATTGAGCGTTAGGATTCAAGCATTAGTTTGTTGCAGTTTAAGTCGTTTGGGGTTCAGTGAATTTGGCCTGCAGTCGCCAAGGCTTAGGGTTCCATTCCGGGAAGGTCACCTGCAGCACTGGCGCAAACCCATTAATTCGCACCTAGCTGTACGTGGTCTGCCCAACATGTGCGAAGGTAACCTCCACCCACCTCCAGCATCACCTGCCGCTATGAAGCGAAAGCAACAATTTGCCTTGCTAGCCCAGACACGGTCAAGCGCTGGTTGAGAGCCGATTGAATCAAGGGCTTCAGCCACTGCAGGACCGTTGACACACCCGAGCCAGTAAATTTCAGATCCACCTGGCAGGACAACAAAGACACGATTGGAACCCCCACCACTGGGTACGAGTACAATAAGGTGTTACCGTTTCTTCTCTGCATTTTGGCAAGCGAAATCATGGCTACAAAGTTGTGTAGTCTTAGTCTTCAGAGGGCAGTTTCAGATATGCTCGCTGGTTTCGTACCTGCCTGTGCTGCACTAGCAAACACACACAATGCCGAACACTAGTAGGCTCTACAGTTTGTTAGCAGCATGCGCCAAGAAAAACAATCACATGAAGCGACATCCAAAACCCAAATGCATCCAAATCCTACATCCTGGTGAATGCTACTTCTCGCAGACTGGCCTTAAAAAGCGGGACAGCAATGATTTCTATTTCTCTGTAAAAAGCGACCCATGATAGTAGCAATGGAAAACTGAAACTATTATTAGTAACAGCAGGGATAAGAATGGCAATGGTGCTAATAAAAATGACGGCCAATGATCATAATCATAGCAATGATACTCATGATGGCTCATACCGACAGCGATAACGGTGATAATGAAAATCACGATACGAATACAAAGTGGCACCAACTAGAATGATAGAAATACTGGTACTAATGAAAAGGCCTCATGACCACACATGATGATGATAGTGATGCTGCTAAGGATGCAGGCTAATGATAGTGGGAATGGTACAAGGTAAGAATCGGGAATGACTCTGATAAAGATAATAATAAAAACGGAACGAGCAATAGTGACAGTAGTAATGCCAATAAAAACCAAGCCCGCTGCCTGAATCTTGCCATCACAGTTTGTTGCGCGCACGGAAGCGGGCAGGGGAGGATCGAGGCTGTCTGACACCTTTGGACTTGGCAGCCAAAAGAGGACTTAGGGTTCAGGGTTTTAGGGCATTGAAGCAACATGTGCATATGCATTTAGTATATGCCTTGAATGGATTCTGTAGATTGCTGCAATAACTACAAAGGTTTTGGAGAGCTTGGCCACTTGCATTGCAAAAGGCAGCACATGGACAATTGAGGCTTGTAGGGTTTAATTAGTAAGGCTTTGCCATTTTTTCTTCCCTTTGTAAAGCTAAGTGGGCCGCAGCGCATTTTGAAGGTGGAGTTGTGGAGGGGTGCGTGGGGTCTTGTGCATGGTTTGCTTGTAAGTCATCAGGAAAGGATACGCCACTGTGGGGCCTCTGCCGGGCCGCAAGGTAATGCAACTAAGAGACTAAATCCCGGTGCACTATGCGTCTCAATAGTGTTCATGGACTGCTTCTGCCCGAATTGCTAGAGGTCCATTTCTGGAAACCCAAATTTTGGGCGGATGCTGAAGCGCCATCCAGCTCTAGCATGTTCTGGGGCATGGGCCATAGTGATGGGCCCACCCAGCACGCCATCCGACACTTGTGCCACAACCTCAGCTTGGCAAACCCTTCTCACGCATAGTTGGGAATGGATCCCCATTCTACTTTTGCGCCGCCTATGGCCCCTAAAATGCTGAACTTCCTGGGACTTCAGGGACTTAAGGTAAGCACATGGGAGGTTTGAATAGCCCCGGGGTCCCTCAACTACATAACCCCCATATAAAGCCCGACATAACCCCTCCCCTCAACCCTAAACCCACACATAACCTCTTTCAAGGCCATCTGGGCTTCGGGCATCGCCATGGAAATGTAAGCTGCTGATCAAGGTCGACTGCGCATCCCACTTCAGAGTGCAGTGGATGCTCAGGCCAGAAGCCTCGGAGAAGGGAGGGTGTAGGGCTTAGGGTTTGGGGTTTGGGGTTTGTATTCATTACCTTTAAAAAATCTGAGATGAAGGAAATTTGGGAACCCTGAGTAATGGTAAGTATTACATGGGCTGGAGGGTTTAGGGTTTGGAGTTTTGGTTTGGAGCATGCATAGAAGTATATTATCTAGGTATACTTAGGGGTATGATAGGTGTTCTACGGGGGTTGTAGGTGTTCTACGGGGGTTGTATGGGGTTTAGGGTAGGAGTGGAGAATCAGCTGGACAAAGCATGGAGAATCATATCTTTATTGCATGGGGGCTATCTAAAAGGAGTTTGTACTGTAGGGGCCTCAAAAATGTCCATCATGATTGTGAGGGTCTATTTAGGGGAGGCTATGCTAAAACATCTAAAGACTAAAAAAGAATCTGGTATCACAAGTTTCATCTTTATTTAGGGCCCAGCATTCGCAAGTTTCTTGGGGCTTGCTGCTGAAAGCTTTGTGATGTGGTGCTGTAAGTTCATGGCAGCAGCTTTCTAATCCTAAGCCCTAAGCCCTACACCCTAAACCGCGTTTTAGGGTTTAGGGTAAGCCCTGAAACCATTCCCTAACACCCAATATTAGCCCGGCATAAGTCAAGTTTCCATGCCATGTCCAAGCCCTGAACCTATAGACTCTAAATCCACCTCAAGTTGGGTAGACTTACTACACCCCTTTCCGCAATGTAACTGCATGACTTAATGCATGACTGCACCAGAACCTTTGCTTAATTCCCATAGAGCCAATGGTTGGCTTACACTGAGTGAGGGAACCCAAAGCGCATACCCCAAAGTTGGATGTTGCTGTAAATCGGGCCCTCTCTCTCACACGTGCTCAGTCCTAGACTGTCAGACACGAAGTTGAGGCACAAGGCACCGCGTGTTGCAGCACAACCCCAACATACTACAGAGAAATAACCCTGTTAATCCAAAATGGAGGCACCAGCTCAACTGTCAGGAGGGGCAATCGCACTGGAAATCCGGCCCTGAAAAGGAAAACTCCATTTGCGGAACTCGCATTTTCTACTGATTTTACACTTTGGTATATTGGGCCCCAAGGTCTCGCAGAAAGAAACCATCAGTCTAGTAGAATAGGAGTCACAACCAAAAATCCTGAGCCCTGAACACCCTCATATGAGTCCATGCAATTTAAATTAAAGCGCTCCCCGAACCCCCAAACCCTCAACCCCAAACCCCCTCCATGTCCGGAACATCTCCAAGCAGCTGTCATGCTCAGGCCTTGATACACGGCCTCTGTACGGATGTGCTGCAACTTGAAGTTGGTACACAGTCCGTCGGATACAGTGAACTTGAAGCCACCTTAGCCAAAACAAACACGTCTCCGGTAGACACTATAGCCAAATCTCTCCAACTACATCAGTTGTTCTCTTTCCCGCTGCAATGCCTTGCGCGTCAGAGAAAGTGGGAATCTGGATGCGCAGGTTCCACAACCACTTCTCCAGCCAGCTCCTTAGATCGTGCCCTTGACCTAGCTTGAGATACTATGAGCTGACAGACTCAGATGAAAACTCTAAACCCTAAACCCTAAAATCCCTAAACCCTGATTCCCCTTAATCCCAAGGCGCTCTGATCTCAACTTGCTCAGAAGTTGGAGCCCTCCAGTGAAGGTCTCCACGAGGCCGGCCCTCAGCACTCTTGTTGGGCAGAAAGCAAACAACCCGTGCAGCAAAACTCCTAACATCCCACCGAAAAACCCTAGTCCCCTATATGATCCCCTATATGACCCACCCTCCCTCCCCTGGCACGGGATAACCAGAATCCTCCAGAGTCTACTGGGCGTCAGTAGCCAATATGTGAACAAAATGGAACAAGCTATATAGGGATTCTATAATGATTATCTTCCCTTATTCCCTGCTAACCAACAGCAAGGAGCGGGAGCCCTGGTCATTTGCTACACGGTCCATGGCTCTTGAAGCCTCCCATACGGTCCCGACATGATGCTTTTCCAAAATTAGGGGTACCTTTGAAACGGGAAAGGGGGTGGGATTTATAAGTTTTAAAGTTTCCCAAAATTAGGGGTAGGTACCTTTTTCGGGCCCCCTATAATGAGGATTATAGTACTTTGGGGGTCTATATTGCGGTCCCCAATCTATGGAAACTACCCTATATCCCTAATCCCGTAATAATCCCATATAACCCAAGCTTCCATTTCATTTTCCATTTTCTGCTCCATGTGACTCTCCATTCTTGGGTGATATACCCATATATAATCCCCCTTAAGTAGATAGAATATGGCTTTGAGAATATTACAATAAGATCCCCATAGACCCCATATTCTATCTACTCAAGGGGAATATATGTGTACACACATATCTATATATCACCTCTGGGTTCCTTGGAACCCCATATGACCAAGCGGCTCAGCTGCATTGGCATGGTTGGTCTCCTGACTTGTGTGCTTGCTTGCGGCACTTGACGCATCAGCATCTAAGTAGCTTTCCTATAGTCCCCCTTAAGTAGGTAGAATATGGCTTTGGGTATATTCTACTAAGATCCCCATATACCCCATATTCTATCTAAATAAGGGCGAGTATAACCTATGTGTAACCCTAAAGTCCCCCAAAGTAATACATCACGCCAGCTAAGGCACAACTACGCGAAGCAAATCGCGAGGGGCGGAAAGAGCGCTCTGTGATGGTCTCGCTGCCAACAGCAAGCAACACCTCACTAGGCCAGGTTTGGGGGCTCTGCAACAGTCAGATATCTATGCTTTTTATAATGCTCAACAGGGGATTACGGGTGATGAACTTTCAAAAAGTAATTTCAACCTACACATGAAGAACGTGCTTTGATTGAAGCTACCCTTATCAGTAAACCTAAGCAGGCGGGACCGCTCCAGCTGTCAAACCAACATAGTAATTGTCATGGCAATGACGACCAGGACTAGTAATGGTCAAACTGGCAATAACATCTATAACAGTAAAAAGAGCACTATTACTGTTACTATTGTTAGGAACTAGTAGTAATGCATCACGGCTCCCTGATGTTTTTCAAGCCAGGGCACAAGCGCCAGATCTGCACAGCAGTCATGGCAATACCATGTGAGGAGGAGGAGGAGAGGGAAATGTAGCAAATACGTGAGGTGCAGGGCACTTGATGAGACTCAGTGGTTCTTTATGCTGCGTAGACAGCCACTCATAAGTATCCGCCAAGAGTCGCACTCTTGAACTGCCTGCCTACTTCCAGGATCCTAAACATGCACGGCTTCAACCAATTTTTGTGGCAGGTGCGCTTGGGACTATGACTATGACCGACTATGATCCAAATTTCGGAAGCTTGCAGAATGGGCATACTGTATCAGCCAATGCTGCAGCACCGTAGCAGACATGGTGGGGCAAGTCTTCAGCTGACCAAATGAGCCATAGTCTAAAACTCCTTAAAGGGGGATTATATAGGGGATTATATAGGGACTACTATAGGGGTTATTAGGGGGGATACTAGGAGTTTAGACTATAGCTCAAATGGAGGCAGGGGTCTAGGGCTCAGCGCGATATGACCGTTCTGATCCTCTCCAGGTGACTCTGAGTATGCCGCCCTGATCTTGCTTGAATGCGAGTTACTATGGCTTTTCTTATGGTCCCCCTTAAGTCCTTAAGTAGATAGAATATGGCTTTGGGTATCTCATACTAAGATCCCCATACAGCCCATATTCTATCTACCTAAGGGGGACGATAAGTACAACACTTGTTGCGGTGGCCTGCAAGTACATAGCCTGGGGCAGGTGCATGTCGCTCACCTTGCTTTGTTCCTTGAGGTCCTTAGGCAAGGGGTTTTAGGGTTTTAGGGTTTATGGTTTACGGTTTAGGGTGTAATTAGGGGTCTAGCATGGCCATGAACGGAAGCTCATCCTTGAACATCCAAGATATGATCCATCAATAGCTTTTCAGCAGGGCTCAGTCGCGGACGACTACCTGCCATGCGGCAATAGCCGAACTGCGGCGCCTTATCCGAGAAGCACATGGGGGCTTTCCAAAAATTGGCATCCCTTTTGGGCGTCCCTCTGATGAGGATTATGATAATTTGTGGCCCTGCCCGGATGCGCGCGTCCACCTGGCCTTCAGTATACCCTGTATCTATACCCCTTTTGACCCGTGATAAAGGCTATATCATTCGCTATTCCTCACGGATACACAACAGAAACAGCATACCATTTTCAAGCAAATTCCAGTTGTAGCGATCCAGTTAGCTGAGAGTCTCAGACAAAAGTGGGTGTAGACAGGTGCCGGCAGCACTCTGCCATGCGTCGTACAGAGAAATGCGGAATCCTGATTGGCACCCGGATGCCATTCAATCAGGCCTCTAAATTTCACAGCCCGTCTGCCTTTCTGCCAACACTTTCCCCAAAGGTGAGGCTTACAGTGCTACAGTATCATTCCTGAAGCCAGCTGGCCATGTCGGCATTTGCTTGGGCGGAAGATGTGTTCAGGACCGCTTCTAGCTTTATTCTGCATACAGGAATGTAGCCCGAGTCTTGGGCAGCATAAGGATCGGTCCTCCCAGCCCAGGACCTCAGAACGGTCAAAGCACAGGTGCGGGCGTCTTATGCAATCAAGGTTGCGTAGATCTTGCTTACATAGGAGCTATAGTCTAAACTCCTACTGTAGTATCCCTCTTTATAACCCTTCTCAAGCTCCCCAAGGAATGTAGACTACAGCTCATGTCACGGGTCAGGCTAGGCATCTTCCGCTCTCCACTTCCTCTCTTTTACGGTGAAACAGATTTGAACGAGACCTCCATGCTCTGCTGTTACTAGGAGGGTAACCCCAAGGAGCCTCAAGAAGACTGCAAACAGATACCACAAACTAGGGCTCAGGGCTTTTTAGGGTTTAGGGTTTAGGGACTTCCTTGGCACAGGGTGCTTGAGAAGTGAAGGGTGGGGCTACCACATGATCCTGAAAGGAAGGGAGAGATGCATGTGCTCACTGCCAACCCAAGCATGCAAGCATTGGACCATTAAAGTTAAGGATCAGCAGGGTAATAGCGAGTTTAAAATCATCCCCAAGCCCTAAATGGTCCTAAGCCCTAAACCCTTAAAGCCCTAAAAACCCTAAATGGTCCTAAGCCCTTTTTTGCATCTGGACTCATTG